TGTTCCTTGGGCAAAAAACAGCAAGGGCGTTTTTATTTTTTTATCTAGATACTCAGGCGTCTTAGAAAGCCAAGTGAAGAGATGGAAAAGATTTACTGCAAGTTGCGTAATCCCATAGGAAGAAGAAAATTGGAAAAAGTCAATCGCGCACTTTTTGCCACTTATAAATTTAAAAAATATCGCTCAAAAGTTTGTGAATTTATTTACGAAAAACCGTTCTTTTTCGTGTATTGCATATTGAAAAAGAAGCATTTCCAAACCTCTACTTACATGAACTCATTTTCTTAAAATCGCCTCTTGAAGTTTAGTACATATTTAAATATAATCCTGTCCAAAGAATTCGCTGAAATTTGGGTAAATCCACTGCGACCTTTCTAGGCTTAGTTCGATTTCTTTGCGCTTGATGCAACAACACGTCGAAATCATAAAAACATGATTTCCATCATCAACAACAATTCAATTAAAAAATCCATAACGCAAATTGAAATTGCAATAACCGTGGAAATTTGAATATCAACCAATTAAAATGAGGCGTGCTAATTGCTTATCTAACTTAGCATCTGGGCTTTAAGTAACAATATTCTATTTAGCAATGGCAATTATTTTATAATAACAAATGCTAGTCCATCGTCTGATCGATCAGCAACGGAAGCGAATACTCACTGAAGGCTTTAAGCTAATTAGTTGGTGAATTTCATATGCATTTTTTCAATTGGAACTGTTCTAAGTACAGTTAGGACTTTGGAAGTAATACGGGAAGATCAGGTAATAGTTAATCTGCACCTGAAGAACCATCCCTGACCGTTAAGACTATCATTTACACATTGTACGCTCTGAAAACCCGTTCAGCACGCTCTGTTTGTAATCTTGAAATTGATTCATACCGGTTTAATATCAGCACTTTTTTGTTTTTAACCTGTAGCTTCTTTATTTTAAGCCCAAACACTCCGTAAAGGATATTTGGGCTTAAATCTTCCAGACAGGTAAACCTTCACAACTTTTCGATTAAGAGGTATAGTCGTCCCAAGCTAGTTGGCAGTGACGTCATTATTGAAGACGCCGTGTTGAAATTTACTACWCATTTTCGATAYTGGCTGGAAAAATGTTTTTCCATGWTGGTCACAACAGGAAGATYGTGAATTCACTTTTAACCCCCGTAGTGGATGGGCAGAGGATGCGCACTAGTTGAATTTAAAAATTCACAACTCYATAACAAAGGAARTGAGCCACTTGATATTTGGCAAGTTTCCCAGTAAACTTCACTAATAACTCCAGAAAAGTTGCATTGGTATCCAACATCCGCAAGTATCTGAAATCTCCTTTTACTCAAACAGTGARCAATTCATAAGCACAACTCTACTTTAGAAATTCACAACTTCTAAASCAGCCAAGGTGGWGACTTCAAATTTCCAGAAAATGACTACTAAACTTCATTTTCAWCATCCCAAAAGTTTGYTTRGTATGCRACAAYAGGAAGAATTTGRGGGGCAAACGAGGAATTGTCCTCCTCCTGAACGAAAKAAGTTGTATACTGAAGCCTGACCCAGTTTCATTTCAATTCAACATCGCAAAGTGCTAAGATCGCCCTTAAAASGCCAAAGTAAGCAATTAGTTGCAARTKGAGTTGCAGAGGTGAGGATAAATTGGCAGAATGTAAACAATTAATTGGGGAAATAAATCACTTTCTTCAGTTTCGTTATTAATTTGCTTTAATTGTGCAGTTCTTGGTGTTAGTAGTGCGCGATAAAGTGTCTTTTTTTCGTGGCGGTCAAATTATGAAGAAAATAGACGAAAACAATGAGGAAGATCTAAGCGAAGGTGCTGGAAATATGAGCAAATTGAACCGTTGCTTGCTCCCACAAAGGCCGCCGCACAAAAACAAAAAAATTACGCACGCAATTAGAAATTGTATCAGTAAATTGAAACGATACGGTAAAAAAATTCACAGAAACTGCAAACACTTGCCAAGAAATCAACAAATCAATAATTTTAATATTTATGCAAATTC